GCCGCGGCCAGTGCGCGACCCCTGGGGGCACCTCCAACTTCCGGGCCCCCCGCAGGGGTGCGGCGGAGGGATGCGCGTTCCCACCTCAGACCCCGAGAGTCCGGGAAAGTTGTCCAGGTTTCTAGAGAAGGCCGCTCCTGTCCAAGGGGGGCGCCCTGCGGCAAAGCACCTTTGTTCGATCGAGATATTACTTTTAAGAATCTTTTGGAAAAAGAGCCCGAATACATGTGTATCACACGAGTAACGCATGAACACGTTCTCGCGCCCGATTTTACACAACTTCGGGGCGGCTGGGGTGGGAACACCGTGGCTCCCGACCCCTTCTCAGCCGGTCCGCGGCGGTAACCTCGCTCGCTGCCCCGCCCGGCTCCGCTCCCGTGCTGGCTTTTCTCGGGAACGTGGCAGCGTGCAGCGGGCACGCGCTGGCCTTGGTCCGTCCTCGGGGCTGCGACAGAGTCACCCAGCGGTGTCCTGGACACCGCTCACGCCGCCGCTTAGCACAGCACAGCTGGAGACGCGAGCGCCCTTAGGTGGGGGTGACTTTCCCGTTCTGCCTGAACGAACTGTCTTGAGTTTCGCTTTGACCCCAAAGTCTTCGGGATTTGCCAAAGGAAAAGGTATCACCCCAATGAAAACACGATCGTTGTTTATGCCTGTGGTCTTCAGGGATGTGGTTTTAAAAACGCGATAGTCTGTGTTTTATTGGCCAACTGTATTTGGATCATCTGTAACTGAGATATAAATAAAATCCATGTGATTTAGCAGAAAGGGATTGGGTGGTGCAAGGCTGGTTTCTATAATTAGCTCTGACCTCGAACAAGACTTCTAACTCTGTCGGGCCTCAGTTTCCTTGGAGAGAGAGAGAGAGAGAGAGAGAGAGAGAGAGTGAGTGTGTGTGTGTGTGTGTGTGTGTGTGTGTGTGTGTGTTTCCAGCTCTAACATCTGGCGAATAACCAGTCTCTTCCCTCTGCATCTTTCAGACTTCAGCCTACTTTAGGGAAACCTCCCTTCAGGGTGGAATCGTGAGTTTCAAGCCCCGCCCTCAGGGGCCGATCTCAGTCTAATCCCGCGCTGGGCAGCCCTTCCCTAACTGCCCTCTCCCATCACACTAGTCCTGGGGAAGTTGCAGCCGGGACTCCCCGGTCATCGCTGCCTCCTCAGCCCAGCGCAGTGTCTGGCACGTAGTGGACCTGCTGAGTCTCCGAAAGGCTGTCCTTTCCTCAGCTTCTTCACAGCTCGTCCGAATTGGCAATGCCTGGCATTTCCACTCGATCTATCAGTAGAAACATCTCTTCTTCAAATGGAGCCTTTGGAAAGTGTCCTGCAAGGTTTTGTCGCCTTGGGGGACATACAGTCCACCTTCTGGATGGGGACCGGGGGTTCTCAGTGAGACCGTGGGGCGCCAGCAGCTACTGCCTCCATGAGCATAGAGGCCCGGAGGAGATGACACATATTAATGCCCCTCATTAAGTACTTGGTTAAGTTAGAACTATGCACAAGCGGCTGGAATACACGCACGACCACTCAGATTGAAATGAGGCCACGGGGTGTGTTTAGGGTGCAAATTAACAAGTGTAAATGCCTGCAACCAACAATCATGAAAGCCAGGGGAATCCTTGTCTGTCTTTACTGCAAAAACCCCGAATTCTTTCAGAGTCTAAGCAGGAAACAGGCCCAGCCCGGTTCAGAAAGGCTATTAAAAAGTAAGGGTGAGGAAGTAAACGTGTACAGCAGCAGGAGACTAGTAACTCTCTTGTCGGGTGGTGTGAAGAGTTGCCGAGGGAGAAAGTAAAAGCTGGCCCCGTGTTGAGAGGGGCAAACAAGCACAGCCCGGGCTTCCCCCTTCTTCCCTGTCCTTCCCCCGTCCTTCCTGCTCTGTGGGGGAGGGACTGGGCGCGCCTGTCCCCTGAGTGCGCTCCCAGGGGAGAGCAGAGTGGGGAGTCACTTGTTGCCTATCTGTTGACTGGGGCACCTGCTTGGCAAGAACGCGTCTTCACAAAGTGGGCTCAAGGAGAAGTGGATGAAAGATTTCTTCCCGGCCGAGGAGAGAGTGTGCGAGTGAATTGGCACTGGACGCTGTCCCCAGGCTGGGTGTCCTGCCCGTTGTGTCTCATAAGTCAGGCCGCAAGGGATAAGGGCAGCTTCACGGGGCAGCAGGCCGGGAGTTGTCTGGGGCCTGTGAGGGGGGGGGTCGACTCTCACTCGCGGCTCCAGTGAGACCAGAGGCGGCCTCCTTGGGGGGCGCTGGGGGAAGAATAC